GTCAGTGATTTATAAAGGGAATAATAGTGCTGTAGTGGTTATGCTGAATATAATAGGTACATGATGTCACTACTTTAATAGCCTAATCTAGTAATACTATGCTGTCTTGAGTTTATTCTCTTTAAAATGCATGATTTAACAAGATAGTTATAATGGCTGTTGGTAAATGGTTTTGGTTGTCTTGATGTACTTTCCCTATTAAATTTAATCTAAATAGCCAGAATGTATTTAATTAGACCTTAAACAGGCTCAACACCAACCCCCCCTCCACCCCCAAGCTGGAAGGGGTAGCTTCGCTTACCCATAACTCAAAGGGGCCCCGCCAATCTGAATAGCCTAGGGCCCGGAGACTTCTTAATCCGGCCCTGGGTACAAGTACAGTAGTACAGTATATTTTGGTCTTGTATACTGAAGTCATCATCAGTAGACTATAGAGAGAGATGTTATACAGTTGCCCCTACAAACCTAAGACAAGATGTAATGAACAACTGTCAATGAATCTATCCCTACAAATACCCTTTCTTCCTTATTTGCAGGTTTCAATTATCCAGCATTTTTATTAATAAGCAACCAATGAATAAATTAAATTATCCAACGTAATTCTGGCTCAATGGCTTTCCCTACACACAAATCTTTTTTCTGTGGCCATCATATCTTATTAATATCAATATTAACTTGACAATCTGTTGGAGTGTGAGCAGAGATAATATTTTGTGGAGGAATTCAGGAAAAAAGGTTACCTGCACTTAAGTCCTGGAGGTGGGAAGTACAATGCCTAAACTTTAAAGGAGGGATTTGGGATATTTACTGTTTGAAGTGACATCTGAATCTGTCATATTTCCACGCCTCTGAAAAGACAGTTATTATGTGTGAATGATAGTGAAAGTGTGTGTGTGTCTTTTTTGGGCCACCCTGCTTCAATGGTAGATGGTCAGCATGTTGGGGGGAGAAAAAAAAACTCAATATTAACCCTACATCAGTGGGAGATGGCAACCGTGTTAAAATAAAAAATTAAACACATTACAGTAGTGTATTACAGAAATGTGATTCATAATGAGAGGATAATCTGGCAAATGCAAAAGTGTGTGTGAGAGGAATGAAGTGGTAAATGAACTGGACTGACCAAGAGTATTTGGCTCTAGGATAAAAGAACAATGGGAGACATGTCAGGATCATCCAGAATGGAATTTCTCGCTGGCTTGGTTGTCCCCTTAACAAGTCACAAGCACAGTACATACTCATCAACAAAACTCTCTCTATCCTCCTACTCACCACAGAACTATCAAGGGGGAGCCATACATACACAAAACAGCCCTATATATATGGGTCTCCATGCATGGCAAACACACAGTAATAGTGCATAACATATCTTAGTCATGGCCACACTGGTATGGAAAACCCATGGCACCTGAAGCTCTGGCCAATGTTATCCAAGTCTGAGAGCATGTACTTTGTGTCATCTCATATAAGAACCCCATATTGCAAAAAATTAAAAAAAAACATATCTTCTCAGTTCACCTGTCCATACATCAGTTACTTTAACATACCTTATTCAAACGTACTGAAGCAAAAAAAAAGTGAAAAAACATTGTCTGACCTGCAGAATTCACATTTTAATATCCCATGAAAACCTACTTATGTATATAAAAAAAAAAGACTTAAATGTGCATATTTTAAAGATGTTTAATTTTCATATTAACAATTTATATATCAAAACATCAACTAAAATCAACCTTACCTGGATTACTTTCTTGGTAATTTCCTTGAGATAAATAAGAAAAAAAAAGAAAAGAATGATAATTATGCCATTTTCTTCATGAAGTGCTTAAGGTAAACATAGACATCTCCTATGCTGAATAACTGTGAACAGAGTCAAACACAACTTTGTTAGTGGCATTGCAATTCATACTGGTTTATTGTTTACCAAGATTAGCACCAATCAATAACTTAAACAAAAAGTATGAAAACTGTGAAAGTGTACTTACATGCAAAGTGTGAGTAATTAGCACAACCCTCCCACTGTTGGTCTTAAAAGTGAAAGAATATATTGTACAATGAAAAGTGAAGCTACATTTGGTATTACATATCTAAAGTACTCTTACAAAAGAACCAAAAGAAAAGCCTAATGAAAGACAGGTCTATACCATGGCTGAAATAATTTACTATTGGCCAACAATTATGAGAGACATTTACAGCTGTTTCAGTCAATCCTGGAATATTCATGAGTTGATAATGGTCCAAGAAGGATCAAAAACACACTCAAGTTTCCTTTTCAAATCCCAGGTTAATAGTTAAAACGAACATTAGTACATGCAAACCAAGCTAAATAATATTTTCCCCTACACATCATGCACAAGCATTTTAACTACAACAGAAGATCATGGACTCTTTTCATCACCCACTGAAACCAGTAATATCAAACCTTGATAATTTCTTGTGTATATCCACTGGATTGAAGACATCTATATTATATGTGAAAATTTAAAATTTTCAGGAAATTATGCTCTACTATGACAGCTCCTTATATACAATATACATATTATCTACCTTAAATGAACAAGTACAAAATAGTTTAAATAAATAAATGCATTTGAAAAATATGCACAACAAGAAAAATGTAAAAGAATATGACTAACTGCCAGTTGACAATGTGTCAATAATACACTTAAGTACTGCAGGAACACAGACTAAAGAAAATAGGAGAGAAGGAATACACGACATGCCAGAAAGTAGCTGGAACTAAAAGGCATTGTTTCGATGGGAAATCCAGCTTCTTCCACTGCAGATGCTAAAATTATCAGAAGTAATCTATCAATGTCTCTTATGCCATATTTTCCCACGAGAACTTTTTCTCAGGAGTGGAATAATAAAATCATACCTCAAAGCTGCCCTATATATAATCATTTAGCCCCCTCTGCTTCCATTATACCTTTATGGGATTTTCCAATATTCAGTCTGCTACCTTACCTCTCTATGGTGCAAATTGCTTGTGAATCAATTAGATCCTTTGTATTTTACCCTAACACTCTTTACAATCCTACTATCCATTGGCTAATGGAAAGCACTATATCTGTATGGGTTCTGTACTACTCCAAATGAACACTGGGATTTAATAAAGCTTGGCCCTTACTGTAACTCTGATGACAGCCTAGTAACATATCGAGGCAATATTCACACTGTCATCTTGCTAACCTTCAGGGCAGAAGTAAATTTGAGGAGGAGGTGGCAGTAGCTTGGCTCCTTCCATATTACAAGTTATTCATATTTTGTATTATTTTAAAGTATTAGTGTACTGGTTATTTTTTTTTTTTAACACACAGGCTGTCTCTCACCGACACAGGGTGACTCAACAAAGAAAAAACAGAAGTTTTATTTCTTTTTACATTTAGTAATTTATACAGGAGAAGGGGTTACTAGCCCTATGCTCCCAGCATTTTAGTCGCCTCCTATGCCATGCATGGCTTATGGAGGAAGGTGGTTATTTATTACATCAATTAAATTAATTTTAACTGCAGTATATATTTACAATTAAAATGTGATTAACACTGACAAGTGAAGCCCAGAATAATTATAACAATTGATTGTATTAGCCAATAATTCTCTCATTATGTTACAGCGTATCTAAACCATTTTTGGATATACAGTGATGCAAGAATTTTTAACTATTGTTCTGATAAACATAGATTACATTATTGTATTTATTTTGAGGGGTTCTTCATTTCCTATTTTACTCTAAAGGAGAGGTTTGGGATAATGGCAGTTTGGAGTGACTATCTAAACTGTCATATCTGGGCACCTCTGCAAATACAGTGAGTATAAGTGATGGTGAAAGTGTTTTATTTTCTTTTTGGTCACCCTGCTTCGGTGGGAGACGGCCGATGAGTTAAAACACAAAAACTCATAAATAAATTATATTATAATGTTTATGTATATGTATTCTCTCTATTATATATACGTGCTTAACAATTCACAAATGGGCAAAATTATTTACATAACCCATGCACATTAGGTCTAGGACAATAAACTCAACAAATAGATACTTCCTAACAACCCGAAGGCAGCTAAGGTGCATGGTCTCTCCAGATACTATTACAAAAGGTGATGGATCTCTTGGGTATATAGAGCATAAGCTAGCCAGCTGATTGCCAGATTTCTTGTAATTATCAGCTACAGCCATCTTCATCACTCTAAGACCTTTTGAACTGATCAGCTGACCTCAACATTAGCAGCAAAAAAGTGGCCAGTTCAAATGTTACAACCTTCTTGACTCATGTACCCCCAAGTACCAAACCAGTGACCCAACACACTGTTGCCCTTCCCTTTCCAAGATTTAATTAATCTGATTGAAGTGTGTGCAACTTATAACTTTTTTCTCTTCTAATGACACTATCAACCAAAATGTGGTATAGCCATGGAGTCTTCAGCCTTTGCAGTTTAACCAAACTGTACATGGAGCATCTTGAGGCCACCAGTTTCACTGGCATTTGTCCTCCCGTCATTACTTGACTTAGGTATGTGGATGACATCTTAATGATCACTCCCCAGAAATACAACCTATACATCCACAGTGGAATTTTCCATTCAATTCAATTCACTCTGGAAGAAGAAAAAGATGGCACACCCTCACTTTCCTTGATGCTCTCTGACAAATACACAAATGTAATTGCAAGGAATTCATATACCATAATATACTGGAAAAATTCAAAATAACTCTAGGATACAATTACAGATGGTGAAATTATTAAAAAGCTATTTACTTCAAAAATGAGAAAATGCAATAGTGTGGTGTCTGCCTAAAAAACAAACATTCATAAAACAGAAAAAACATCCAGAGATGATACAAAACTGTTCCACAAACTGAAGAATACAAGTTACTTGAAGTACGTATAAAAAATATAGATGGCTTCCAGAGTTAAAGACAGTTATAGGGATAAAGACTATATAAATTACTCCCAGTTAAAAAAAAAAATCCACAAGTGTTACCTTGCAAGGTAACATTTATGAAGGTATTCCAGGAAACCAGTTAGCAGGACTTGAGACCTGGGGGGGTATGAAGTACAGTGTCCGTATTCTGAAGGACGGGTAGAAATGGGTCCTTTGAATTTGTAATGTCTGCACACTTCTAGCAAGACAGCCACTGAATGATTGATTCTGAAAGTTTCCTTTGCTTCGGTCACTGTACCTTGGTGGGACACATCCAGTACAGTAAAAATATATAAAAGGATAAGAAAAAGATTTTTAAAAGGAAAAATAGGAGCTGTAATTGTAAACTGGGAAAAAATACGATGCCAAAAGAATACTCTGCTAGAAAATTTTTTAACAAGGGGTAGAATATGAACCTAAATGACATTTAAGAGGAGAGTACATGCTACAATCAGTGAATTAAGAAAATATATGACAAACTTAAAAAGGAAGATGGCACACTATAAAACTACTGTAGTTACAGTCCTGTAAATAAAAATAGGTAAAAATTAATGGATAATTACACGTACCTAGTGCAACCCAGATATTTCTAATCTTCTCACTATCATGCTTACCATCCTTATTAACAAAACAATAAACACACTCATACAATGGCAACATCACTTAAACCCATCTTACACTGAGTGCATGCAAGTCTTGACATCACATCCCCACATTTTACCACACAGTTCTTACACTGAGTGCATGCAAGTCTTGACCTCACATCCTCAGGTCTTAACACACAATTGTACATGTTTAGTGACAAAACAGTTATGTCACCAGAAGCATATAACTAAAATTGTTTTTAAAGCATAATAATGGTTTATGTATGGGATAAAGTAAGAATCTAGAAAAAGTGCACCAGAAATGGCACATGATCATTGCACATTAAATATTAACATTTAAGTTTGACAGGTTTATCATCATAGGTCTTTTTATGTCATGTATAAGAGAGATGATAGCAATTCAGGTATTATAAACATAACTGGAAATGACAATGTTAGAGCATTACATCAACAAATATATAAATTGATGGGCAAGCAGGAGAAATGAATATAAAAAAAAACAGGATATTTTTTTATCTTATCAGCTATTAAACATTTAATGGAATACTTGACAGTATCCTCACTGCCCTACTGAAGATTCCCAGTTCGTATGAAATCCACTGTGATATTCTCTCCAGGTATACCGTGTGAGAGAATATGATAGAAAATATAGCTAGCTTCTGTTCCCAAAAAGTATCTATCATGCAGAATAAGTTAGCAGTACACTGCAGATATATCCAATTTTGTTAAATAAAAAAAATCTACCTGGTTAGGAAAAATTAAAATGATTAAGAAGATATATGACTTGGAGGGTGTATAAATCTGTAGTGGAGGGGAGGAGGGGTAGGGGACATCCTAGGAAAGGAAGGAGGGAGGAAGGTAAAAGTGGTTTTGTGTGCAAGGGGCTTGGACATGCAGCAGGCATGTGTAATTGTGTTAGATAGGAGTGAATGGAGATGAATGGTGGAGTGTGTTGAAGTGTGAGCAGGGTAATATTTTGTGAAGGGATTCAGGGAAACCAGTTAGCCGGACTCAAGTCCTGGAGGTGGGATGTACAATGCCTGCGCTTTAAAGGAAGGGTGTGGGATATTTGCTGCTTGGAGTGACATTTAAACTATTGTATCTGGGCACCTATGCAAAGGCTTACAGTAATAGTGCATGTATTCAGATTAGATCAAGGACCTGTGGAATGAGATAAAAAGTGAGAAAGCAGAATTTAACCCAATACTGTAAAATGTTTTATGATATACAAACAGTATATGTAGTACACCAAGGTGTTCTACATGAAATGAGAAGTTAAAAAATAGCAAGGTGCAAAAGAGCAAATGAAAACATGATAATATTTTTAATAAATTTAATACAGAATAGGAAATAATTATGAGGAAGAAAATAGTACTGATAAGATAAAGAAAACCAAAGCAGTAAATGTATTGGTTTCTCAAGTACAAGTTGGGAGGATGCTCAAAAAAAGGTAAAAGTGTTAATGGATTTTTTAACACAGCAGCCAAGACAGGTTGATTAAAAGAAGTAAAACATTTGCCATCATTCATTCCCTGTCTTTCCAAAATAGTACGAACTTCACAATTCAAATGTTTCACTGAATAATAACATCCCTACCCCTCCCTCAGTGTGCATGCACTGTATTTCCCACCTCCCCAGAACTCGAGTCTAGTTAACCAGTTTCCCTCCATTCCTTCATAAATATTACCTTGCTCACTACATGTCAAATCTTCCCTCTCAAAAAAATATATTACAGCTCACTCTGATTTTTTTCATACATGCCTGCTAAACTCTCTCAAAACCACCTTCCCGAGACATTTCCTACCCCATCTTTTATCCACTTCAAACTTTAAACACTGTATCAATCAACCTATTTAAAGGACCAAACCATCTCTCCAAAACTTTTTCTCCTACCTACTTATCCTCACACATTTATAAATTATTTGCTCCTTATACTCTCCATAATATTCACACCACACATTAATCTTAAACATCTTTACTGCCTTCAGCCTCTTTCCCCTCTCAGCAAAATTAAAAGACAGTACCTCACATCAAATCAAAAACAGCATTAGGATAACTACTCTAATAATATTATGTTTCCATCTACCAACACATCCATTCATCTCCTCCATACTCCTGCCCTCCAATCTAATGTCCAATCTTTCATTGATGTTCAATCTTTCAGCAGGAGCAACTATGACAACTCCCATTTTATGTCATTATCTGAAATTTCCTATATTTACCAATAAGTTCTGCTGATGAAAGGAGCTAAAGAATTTTGAAGAATGTAAGAGCTTCCTTGGTTGGTTGGCAAGGCCTTCAGTTACTGGGACAAGTCCTTATGCATTTCAATCCTTTGATGTGCCATTGCTGACCATAGCCATTAGATATTAATGGAAATCATGACTATTCTTAATACAGAAATTAATGGTGACTTGAATGAAGAGGAAATCTTGTACTGTACTATGTCCTCAAAACTCCATAATAATAATAATGGTTAACTGTTGCATGACTAAAGCATATTTTGCAGCAGATCTTAATGAAGTGTTAAACCTGAGTGAGTTCTGGCAAGTAGTTTTTGGGATATGATGTGCTACTGGAGTGTGAAAAAATGGTTGACCTGCCTCAAGTTCTTGAGGTGGGGAACAAAGAGCCTGCACTCTAAGGAGGGGACAAAACCAAAATTTTTTGCACATACTGACAATGAAACTTAATTTTTGGCCAATACCGATACAAATGCCATCAAAATTAACTGATACCAATTCTAATACAGTGGAACCTTGGCTTACGAATTTAATCCATTCTGTGGACTTGTTCATGTCCTGATTTGTTCATATGCTGGGTCAATTTCCCTCATTTAAATTGTTTGAAATGAAATTAATTCGTTACAGCTGAATTCCTGCTCTCAGGAGCTATGATAAAATAACCCTAATATCAACTCCATTATTATAATAATTATTATTATCATTATTATTAATTTAGAGACCTGGAGCACAGATCCCATTCCCTAAATCAAGAGCCCCCTCATCATGTATGTACTACTACTACTAATAATAATAATCATTATTATAATAACAATAATAATAGTACAATATAGTGGTTACCAATGTTTTGCTGCCAGTAGTTGGCACCACCATCAGCAAAACATTGGTAACCACTACTAGTACACTTTTCACCTGTCTAGACTTAGTATTAGGTTAAGTCTGCCCAAAATGCCTCAGCATGATAGAGGCTTTCTTTGCTCTAATCATATTATGATAAGTAAATATACACTGTAACCTTAGCAAAGAAATAAATATTTTATTTATTTATTTATCTGAGGAACCTCCCTTGAGGAGGGAAGTTCGCATCTGAAATTTGTTCGATCCAGAAGCATTATCAAAGTCCACCCCCTTTGGACCTTTTTTGGAATGGAGGTGACCCAGTCCCACCATGGCCCTCCAGAATTACAATACTAAATCCAAAAAAAATCCCCCAACAAACACAGATAAAACCCGTTCTTTTTGAAATAAAAAGGGCCCTTAAGCCACCACCAAAAAAAAATCCCTTTTATCGGGGACTTCAAAGGGGAGTCAAATGAATGTTTGACCCTTCCAGAGACCCCCCAAAAAAGATCACTTTGACAGTGAAATTGGATAAGTGGTTAAACCCTTTTTTAGATGCCAGAAAAAACAGGCAACGGGGGGGGTTGGGCCTGTTGTCAAAGAGCCCTTATCTGCACGGAGTTGCTGAACACCAAAAATGGGGTATTTGAAGTTCATAAATGATCAGAACCAAAACCTAGTCTTTGTGGTTGTTACAAGCCACCGGGTGCAACCTCACAACAGTTCAAAGAACACTACAAAAATTGAACTTTTTGGGAAAAACCTTCCCCAGCTCCATCCCCAAACATTTTATGTTTGGGTGATTTCAACCTAAGGCTAAAAAAAGGGAAGAATGTAGCAAAAAATTTTATAGCCAAACAATCCCCGGGGTAGCGCAGATAAAAGGGTCACACAAAAGAGCTACTAAGTCTCTCGAAAAAACAACCTTAAGCCAGCAGTGTGGAGCCAACAAGAAAAAAAAACACATTGACCTTATTTACAAAAAATGGGGACCTGAAAAGGGAACTAAAAATATAAAAAAACAACTAATTCCGATAAAAATTAATAAAAGCCCCGACTACTGCATAGGGGCCCTGATCAGCAGAAGCATGTACCTGTAAAGGTGTTTTCACAAAAACAACTTCAACAACAAAAACACCCACGGGCCGGGAAAACCTGCCCAAAACAAAAAGGTTGGGAAATGTCTAAATGACTGGACCCAAAACCCAGTCCCTTGAAAGGACAATTTTTCTGGTGCGAAGATGTCTAGGCATATTCCCTAAGAAAGAAGAAAGGGGAGTAACTGGAGAGAAAAAGACGCTCCCTCTACAGAAGAGCAAAGAGTCCTGAGCCCCCTCAGGAGTGTAAAATATTGATAACGAAAGGAGGCGCTGACCGGGGAAGTGGAAACTATAAAAATTAAGCAAAATGACTTTACGGGAAACCCAGGAAGGGGAGGGGGCCAAAAATATTAGTGAAATTGAAAGAAATTCAAAATATTTCTTTTCATATGCCAAAACAAGCAAATACACATCTATATCGGCCCTTACTCAGAAGGATGGGACTTACACAGTGACAAAAAGGGGAAAAGATGAAAATTTTAAAAACCCATACGACTCTGTGTTTAGTGAACACTAATCGTCGAGGGTCGAGACACCAAAAGATTTTTTTTCATGAAAGAGCCTCAAAATCCATAAATGTATGCCCGATTTTTCCCACTTTTTCCCCAACTCCGATAGAAAAAAGCCATTGACAACTCCCAGCACTCAGCCCGGGCCCAGACTCAAAAAACCCCTCTGCAAGAAACCCCTCTCGCGTCCCTAAGTACATTTTTGGAGGAGGGGTTGGGGCATGGGGGAAATTCCCAGTCACTTTAAAACAACGGATATAGCCCAACTCCATAAAGGGGGCAGCAAAGATTAGCAAAGAATTACACCCAAAAGCTCTGTGTCCCACATCATAAAAATCTTTTAAAGAGGCTAAGAAGCAGGATTCAAATCACCCGGATTCCCAAAAAAAGCACAAACCAGGGAAAAAGGGTTTTAGGGAGGTCGCTCCCCGCCTCCACAACTACTGGGTCACTATGCATGGCCTTTATGCCTGGATGAAATAGAATGCAGATGAATTTACCGACTTTTCAAAAGCATTGGGCAAATGCGACATGGCGTAATGCCCAAAAAAACGTGCTAAAGGAATAACTGGGAAAGTGGGGAGGGATCTTCAACTTTCCCAACAAAAAGAACCAAAGATAGTGGTCAACAGAGTTAAACGGAGGCTGCCATAGTGAAAGGGGTCTGTTCCACAAGGCACGTACTCGCCCCCATCTTTTTCCCTTTTCCTCATATCAGACAAGAAATACACCACAGCACCGTATCATCCTTTGCGGATGATACTGGATCGCATGAGGCTGTCATCTGTGAGGCGCGGTTTAACCCAAAAGATAAAAACAAAGTTTTCCAGTGGGAAAGGGGTAAACAATATATGTTCAATGGGACAAATTCCAACTACTCCGTTATGGAAAATAGAGTTAAAAACAAAAACGGGAACACTCTCCGCCCCGAAAAAAAACCAGTTAATTCTGAGGCCCCTCATTTTTAAGGATCCAAACATGCCACGACGCACGTGAAAAAGAAAATGTGGGAGGGATAATGAAACTTTCAAAACAGAGATGCCAAAAGCCCATGATATCCTTTAAAAATCATTTTTTTCTCTCTATGGAATACTGCTGTACATTAATTCCATTAAAAAGAGGTAAAATCGGATCTAGGAGTGTCAGAGTCCTTTACGCCATAAGTTTGTCAAGCCCCTTAATAGGGGGAACCCTTTGGAAGCATTGACTTTATATTGGAAGCAGAGGGAGAGATATATCTAATCACACTTGGAAAATTTTGGGAAGGAAGGGCCCCAAAATTCACAAGAAATCACTCCCTACAAAGTAAAAGACGGGGCGGGCGATGCAAAATGCCCCCAATAAAAGAGGGGCCATTGGTACACTAAGGGAAAACCCCATAAGTGTCCGGGGCCCAAAACTTTTCAAAGCCTCCCATAAACAAATTAGGGGAATTGCCAATAAACCCCTGGCGCCTTCAAGAGGGGTGGACAGATACCTAAAATCAGTGCCGGATCAGCCGGGCGTGGCTGACATTGGACTGCGTGCGGCCACATAACGCCCAGTTACAGGCCCCCGATCCCTCGGGACGTTGTCCCGGGAAAAACCCCCAGGGAACCCCGGTAACAAAAACAACTGGCAACGGTTCGTATCCCGAAAAATTTGCATGGTGGGGCATTCGTAAGCCAGGTTTACTGTACTTTTCAATCCCCATACACCCCTACAGGGTTCTGTGACAGATGGATTCCCGGGTTGTTTTAACAGTGTTGTTGTAAAATCTTGGAAAGCCATAGGAAAAAAGTGATCATGGATGCAGTTTCCTTCTTTTTTGGGCACCCGCAAGGTTTTCTATAAGTGCATATTAAGACTGCTCAATGTCAACATAAACCATTGATAAAGTTCATCCTGAAACATATGTGATAAGCATTAAAAATATTAAAAATAATTTAGTAGTTTCATAAGACTTACTTTTCTGGAGGCATGAATAATCATGGTAGACTTGCTTGCATTGTTAACTACCACATCCTTTTTTCCTTCAATATCTCTTAATACTGCAGCAGCAACCCCATCACCACCATTAACGATAACATCTGTTTAAAACAAGCAATGGCTATGTCAACAAAATTAATGTCATATGGATTCAATGAGGATCAAATGTTTATTAATATGTATCCATGTCAAGTGTACCCAAAAATTCATTCATAATAAATATTCAGAATTATTATTTTTTAAAATTTCTAGCTTTAATAGTACATACGTATCTAAATTTTACATTTTTCTTTATTAAAATGCCTCTCATCAACACACCCACATCAAGAAACACTTCTTTTTTGTTCTGGTGCTCACAGATGAAAACTCAGTGGTAGAGCATCAACTCTCAAAGGAAAGAACCCAGATTCCATTCCCAGAGTGAACAAAGATATATGAGCAAGTTTATTTGCACTTGCTGCTCCATACATACATACATACATACATACGTGTTAGTCAACTGTTGTGATTGTGTATTTCTAGCTACAGGAGCACAGCTAAACTCAGGATGTCAAGTGTTCAATATTTAGTCAGTTTATAAATTTCCAGTGGTTGCTGTACTTATTGCCAATGTTCTCTTGTAACTCATTCCAGTGTTCTACCACTCTGTGAAGAACAACTTTCTAGTAGCCTTACAGCAATTGTTCTCTGTGTTTAGCAGTGGCTATTTACTCTCCTGTTCATAGTGTTATAATATCTTCCTTATCTATTTTTTCAAATCTTTTTATATTTACATATTGTACATGATTGTTGTGTCACTTCTTCCTGTCCTACAGGCAGTAATGGCATGTCGAATTCCTTCAGCCTTTCTTCATACCTCAAATTTTATGGAATGTTTTATTCAATTATGAAGAGAGAAATGGAAAATCTCAGTAGTTTCTATGATAATAACTATCACAAAGTTAAGTGAAACTATAATAAAAGAAAAAGAACTAAAACACCAAGCTATCCCTACATTTTGTTATGGATGCAACACATGTACAGTCATAAACACAGGTCCCTTTGATGCAAAAACTCTTATTTTTGGTTTTGATTTTATTTTAATTGTTAAAGGAAAGAGCTAAGCCAATACAGCCCTTGGGGAATGAAAGGTTATAAGATTTGATCTGATAAGAGGAACAGTAGCTCCAATTCACTGGATCAGGAATTCTCTATTCATATCTCACTGAACCATTATCTGCCAGAATCTGCTTGGGTAATGGTACAGCTTACATCAGGTTTTTGTGCTACTGGCCATGACTGCACACAATAAATAATTTCAAGGACAGTAGCCAATAATCAGGTAACTACCTCTATACTATTAGTATGGCTTCCCACTTTCACAACAGAAATAAAAGTATACAGGTGTAATGAATGAAAGCTTTGAGAGAATGAATATAAAACAAAGAAAAGAAAGCAGGGAAGCTAATAAAAAGATTAAAATAATAATATACACAAACAAAATGAAGTACAGTAATGGTAAAACATATCTACAAGGAACAGTGAGAACTTCATTTATATCATCCCACAATATAGCAAATTTTCAGGCATGGCCAAAAATTTTTAACAATATTTGCAGATTTTTTTTTTTTTTTTTTTTTTTTTCAACAAGTCGGCCGTCTCCCACCGAGGCAGGGTGACCCAAAAAAGAAAGAAAATCCCCAAAAAGAAAATACTTTCATCATCATTCAACACTTTCACCACACTCGCACATTATCACTGTTTTTGCAGAGGTGCTCAGAATACAACAGTCTAGAAGCATAAACATATAAAGATACACAACATATCCCTCCAAACTGCCAATATCCCAAACCCCTCCTTTAAAGTGCAGGCATTGTACTTCCCATTTCCAGGACTCAAGTCCGACTATATGAAAATAACCGGTTTCCCTGAATCCCTTCACTAAATATTACCCTGCTCACACTCCAACAGATCGTCAGGTCCCAAGTACCATTCGTCTCCATTCACTCCTATCTAACACGCTCACGCACGCTTGCTGGAAGTCCAAGCCCCTTACCCACAAAACCTCCTTTTACCCCCTCTCTCCAACCCTTTCGAGGACGACCCCTACCCCGCCTTCCTTCCCCTATAGATTTATATGCTTTCCATGTCATTCTACTGTGATCCATTCTCTCTAAATGACCAAACCACTCAACAACCCCTCTTCTGCCTCTGACTAATACTTTTATTAACTCCACACTTCTCCTAATTTCCACACTCCGAATTTTCTGCATAATGTTTACACCACACATTGCCCTTAAACAGGACATCTCCGCTGCCTCAACCGTTTCCTCGCTGCTGCATTTACCACCCAAGCTTCACACCCATATAAGAGTGTTGGTACTACTATACTTTTCATACATTCCCTTCTTTGCCTCCATAGATAACGTTTTTTGACTCCACATATACCTCAACGCACCACTCCCTTTTTTCCCTCATCAATTCTATGATTAACCTCATCCTTCATAAATCCATCCGCCGACACGTCAACTCCCAAGTATCTGAAAACATTCACTTCTTCCATACTCCTCCTCCCCAATTTGATATCCAATTTTTCTTTATCTAAATCATTTGACACCCTCATCACCTTACTCTTTTCTATGTTCACTTTCAACTTTCTACCTTTACACACATTCCCAAACTCATCCACTAACTTTGCAATTTTTCTTTTAGAATCTCCCATAAGCACAGTATCATCAGCAAAAGTAACTGTTCAATTCCATTTTGAATTTGATTCCCATAATTTAATCCCACCCTCTCCCAAACACCCTAGCATTTACTTCCTTTACAACCCCATCTATAAATATATTAACAAACCATGGTGACATTACACATCCCTGTCTAAGACCTACTTTTACCGGGAAGTAGTCTCCCTCTCTTTCTACACACCCTACCTGAGCCTCACTATCCTCATAAAAACTCTTTACAGCATTTAATAACTCTACCGACACGCCTATTCCAATACTTGCAATCCATCGCTGGCACATTGCTCCTCTATCCACTCTATCATATGCCTTTTCTAAAATCCATAAATGCAATAAAAACTTCCTATCTTTATCTAAAATTACTGTTCACATATATGCTTCATGTAAACACTGATCTACAACATCCCTTACCCAATTCTAAAACCTCCTTGCTCATCCGCCAATTCCTACATTCTGGTCTTACCTCTAATTTATTTCAATTTTAACCTACCGTATACACTTTTCTGGTTATTACTCAGTAAGCTTATTCTCTATAAATTTTTACAGTCTCTTTTGTTGTTCCCCTTTCCCTTTATATAAAGGGACTATACATGCTCTCTGCCAATCCCTAGGTTCCTTCCCCTCTTTCATACATTTATTTAACAAAAGTACCAACACACTCCAAACTATATCCCCCCCCTGCTTTTATACAATTTCTGTCATGATCCCATCCAGTTCCACGCTGCTTGTTACCCCCTTTCATTTTACGTATGCCTCACGTACCTCCCCACATTACATTTTCTGCTCTTCTTCACTCCTAAAAGATGGTATACCTCCCTGACCAGTGATGAAATTACTGCCTCTGTTTCTTCTTAACATTTAAAAGGTTCTCAAATATTCTCGCCACTACCAATTCCTCCATCTCCCATCTACTAACTCCCCTACTATGTTTTTAACTGACAAATCCATATTTTCCCTAGGCTTCTTACTTGTTTAACTCACTCCAAAATTTTTTTTTTATTTCAATTAAAATTTATTGACAGTGCCTCTCCCGACTCTATCATTGCTCTCCTTTGCCACTCTCTCAACCACTCTCTTTTACCTTTCTTTTACTCTCCATATTACTCTGCTCTTCTTATAAAAGTTCTGCTTTGTAAAAAACCTTCTCATATAGCTACCTTTTTCTCGTTTATCCACCCTTTACTTCATCATTCCACCAATCACCTCCTCTTTCCTCCTGCCCCCACCCCTTCCTATAACCACAAACTGCTGCCCTCCATTCTAATACTGCATTTTAAACTATTCCAACCCTCTTCAAAACCCCACACTTCTCATGCTTTTGCACTAGCCCACCTTTCTGCTTAGTCGCTTATATCTCACCCGAACTTCACTCCTCCCTTAGTTGATACACTTTCACTCCTACTCTTACTTGTTGTTGCCACCTTCCTCTTTTCCCATTTCTACCTCTTACTCTAACTGTAGCTACAACTAAATATTGATCGACATATCAGTTGCCCCTCTATAAACATGTACAGCCTGGAGCCTACCCATCAACTTTTATCCACCCAATAAATTAAGCTTATAAACTACTTTCATTACGTGCTACATCATACCTTGTATATTTATTTATCCTCTTTTTATAAAATCTTGTATTACTTATTACCAAATTTCTTTCTACACATAGCTCATTTAAAGGCTCCCCATTTACATTTACCCCTGGCCACCCCAAATTTACCTACTACTCCATCCATAACATTTTTACCCACTTTTGCATTAAAATCACAAACCACCATTACTCTCACAATTGATTCAAAACTCCCACGCATTCACTCAACTTTCCCAAAATTCTCTCTCTCCTCTACACTTTCTCTTCTTCTCCAGGTGCATACACGCTTATAATAACCCATTTTCACATCCATGTCTTTATTTTACTCCACATAATCTTGAATTAATACATTTATAGTCCCCTCTTTTCCTGCATAGTTATCCTTTCAAAATTATTGCTACTCCTTCTTGTAGCTCTAACTCTGATTTGAAAACCCATGACCTAATCCCATTTATTCCTTCTCCACTGAAACTCTCCCACCCACCTTCAGCTTTGTTTCATTAAAAAGGCCAGGACATCAGCTTCTTCTCATTTCATAACATCCACAATCATCCTCTTTCTTATCATTTGACAACAACAGCCCACGCCATTCAGACTTTCCACTTTGACAATTTTCTCTTTCTTTTATTTTTTTAGTAATCTTTACAGGGAAAAGGGGTTACTAGCCCAGATTGTTCCCGGCATTTTAGTTGACTTTTACAACACGCATGGCTTACGGGAGAGAAAGATTCTTATTTCACTTTCCCATGGATATATAAAAGGAAAATATAAGTCCAAGAACTATTAAGATATA